GTATACAAACGCAAACGGTTTCAGTGTAAAGATTATTCCCGCGATATCTTTTCTATTTTTCCTCGCTATAAGATATCGAAATTAATCAATGGAATCGACTCGAAAAATATCGTCGGAACTTTTCATATTTATCTTTGTCGTCGGGGACGAGGCGGGCCCTTCGCCGGAAAAGCTTTTAAAACCGAATCGATAAAGTAGTAGCGCATATTTCATGCAGCGGACGGACCGGAGGAAAAGCGCCGATGGGAAAACGGGCGGTGGAAAGTGGAAAGCCGCCGCGCGAGACTTATCTGGTCGGATGGCGGTGTTTTTCCTGGGACAAGACGGCGATCGTAAATTCGCTACTCCCCGGTTCGGTTAGCAGCGCCAAAACTTCAATAAAACTTATAAATTCATGTCTGGGGCATTTTTATATTATGACGCCGATGTCGATTCCCGCCTTTTCAGCGAAAGATAGTAGATTTGGCAACACTGATTCATATTAGTTGCCTTCCTGATAGACCTTTTTGTCACTAACTTAAGGAATGTTAGGGAAAATGTTGGCAAGACTGATTCAAATAAGTTGCCTTCCTCATAGACCTCTAGTTGCCTAACTTTTTCACTAACTTATAGAATGTTAGGGGAAATGTTGGCAAGACTGATTCAAATAAGTTGCCTTCCTGATAGATCCAGTTACCTAACTTTTGGTCAAAAAATTACGGAATGTTAGGGGAAATGTTGGCAAGACTGATTCAAATAAATGGTCTTCCTGATAGATCCAGTTACAAAACTTTTTGTCACTAAATTATGGAATCTTAGGGGAAATGTTGGCTAGACTGATTCAAATAAGTTGCCTTCCTCATAGACCTCTAGTTGCCTAACTTTTTGTCACTAAATTATGGAATGTTAGGGGAAATGTTGGCTAGACTGATTCAAATAAGTTGCCTTCCTCATAGACCTCTAGTTGCCTAACTTTTTGTCACTAAATTATGGAATGTTAGGAGAAATACTGGCAAGACTGATTCAAATAAGTTGCCTTCCTCATAGACCTCTAGTTGCCTAACTTTTTGTCACTAACTTATGGAATGTTAGGGGAAATGTTGGCTAGACTGATTGAAATAAGTTGCCTCCCTGATAGATCCAGTTACCTAACTTTTTGTCACTAACTTATAGAATGTTAGGGGAAATGTTGGCAAGACTGATTCAAATAAGTTGCCTTCCTCATAGACCTCTAGTTGCCTAACTTTTTCACTAACTTATAGAATGTTAGGGGAAATGTTGGCAAGACTGATTCAAATAAGTTGCCTTCCTGATAGATCCAGTTACCTAACTTTTGGTCAAAAAATTACGGAATGTTAGGGGAAATGTTGGCAAGACTGATTCAAATAAATGGTCTTCCTGATAGATCCAGTTACAAAACTTTTTGTCACTAAATTATGGAATGTTAGGGGAAATGTTGGCTAGACTGATTCAAATAAGTTGCCTTCCTCATAGACCTCTAGTTGCCTAACTTTTTGTCACTAAATTATGGAATGTTAGGGGAAATGTTGGCTAGACTGATTCAAATAAATTGCCTTCCTCATAGACCTCTAGTTGCCTAACTTTTTGTCACTAAATTATGGAATGTTAGGAGAAATACTGGCAAAACTGATTCAAATAAGTTGCCTTCCTCATAGACCTCTAGTTGCCTAACTTTTTGTCACTAAATTATGGAATGTTAGGGGAAATGTTGGCTAGACTGATTCAAATAAGTTGCCTCCCTGATAGATCCAGTTACCTAACTTTTTGTCACTAACTTATGGAATGTTAGGGGAAATACTGGCAAGACTGATTCAAATAAGTTGCGTTCCTCATAGACCTCTAGTTGCTAATTTTTTGCCACTAAATTATGGAATGTTAGGAGAAATGTTGGCAAGACTGATTCAAATAAGTTGCCTTCCTGATAGACCCAGTTACCTAACTTTTTGTCACTAACTTAGGGAATGTTGGGGGAAATGTTGGCAACACCGATTTAAATAAGTTGCTTTCCTGATAGCCCTAGTTACTTCTTTATCACTAATTCACTATTGAATAGAATTAGGGGATATGTTGGCAACACCGATTCAAATAAGTTGCATTCCTGATATTTCTAGCTACTTCTTTATCACTAAAATATTATCGGATAACGTCAAATGTCATATGTCATAATAAATTTAAGTTGCCCGCCCTGTTTTACACTTTCGAAAAAGTTGCCTCTTTAGTTAGCACTCTCAGCGAGGCCTCCACTGTTCGAATTATTCAGCCATTAATTCGTAACCTCTAGACATGAGATGAAAATCTATCCGATCGTTTGGGAAACCTCATTAGCGAAAAAAAAACGAATTAATTGGTAAGTACAGTCCTGTTTTCGACTAATACAGACGTCTCGGGGATCGGTTCGCGTTTCACTTTCGCGGAAAAACGCGGCGGTATAAAAAGAAAAACGCGGTATAAAAAGAAAAACCGTCCGGGAAATGAGCGAGAACGGGGGTAAAAAAGGAATCCTCCGGATGGGATTCTAAACGTGATTGCAAATTAATGTTCATTAGATGACTCAGCACCTGATAATGCGAGGATTAAACCGGGAAGGGGGGATTCAAATTCACAAAGAACCGGAGAAATTCCATCTTTTATTTGCCCCGTTTTTGATCATAATCATTAATTTGGATTACGCGAGCATTTGAATAATTCCAGTTCGTTTTCCGATACTGCGCCCCCGGTCCACGGGGAATTTTTCCACCTACTTTTTAATTAAATTACTCGATGAATAACAGATTAAAGGGTCGTACTAAAAGGATTATTCGATGCTAATTGCGGGAAAGTTCGGGGAAAACTTTCATCTTTAATTTGGCTGTTGTAGAAATTCACTAAAAAAAAACTCCTACCAACTCATTTAAATCAGTCTTGCCAACATATCCCTCAAACAATGAATTAGTGATGAGGAAAATTGAAGAAAAACTATTTATTTAATCTAATCCGGAATGCTCCGCGTGATTAGTTTCTCTTTAGCCGAGCGAAAATCGCTCCATCGTGGAAATCCATTCTGTTTTTCCCCGGGTTTCGGACGAAGTGTCCGCCATTTATAATCATTATCTTCGGCCGGATGTGCGTGGACTGGACGATTTTACTTATTCACGTTCGGGCCGGAACCGCCTTTATCACTGTCTTAAAGAGCTAAAGAACACTCCTGAAAGGGTCTAGTTAGAGCTGCAAAAAAGCGCCGGAGAGAGCCGGTAAAGTGATTTGTTTTTGAGCGTTTTTGCTCCTGTCGATAGAGGGGAACTTCTGCGCTCTATATTACCGGCAAAACGTCGTTTTGTTTGTTTACTTTAACTCTACTTTTTTTTATCTATTATTACGAATTAACGGAAATTGGGCTGTTTATAGTAGAATAGAGGATAAGCGATGCAAACAGTGATTTTATAACCGGTTATTTTGGAACAGTAACGCGCTGCACCTTTCAGATAAATTAAAATACAGCATAAATTATGTTGTTGCGGAAAATTATTTAACTACCATCTACAATTTGAATGCTTTTCCTCTAAAATAACCCCAAACAACCACTTTCTATCGTCGCGAATTTTCTAACAAGTATATAATTTTATAGCGTTTTTGCTCCTGTTGATCTTCTATATTACCGACAAAACGTCGTTTTGTTTGTTTACTTTAACTCTACTTCTTTTCATCTATTATTACGAATTAACGGAAATTGGGCTTTTTATAGTAGAATAGAGTAAATACGATGCAAACTGTGATTTTATAACCGGTTATTTTGTAACAGTAACGCGCTGCACCTTTCAGATAAATTAAAATACCGCATGAATTATGTTGTTGCGGAAAATTATTTAACTACCATCTACAATTTGAATGTTTTTTCTCAAAAATAACCCCAAACAACCACTTTCTATCGTCGCGAATTTTCTAACAAGTATATAATTTTATAGCGTTTTTGCTCCTGTTGATCTTCTATATTACCGACAAAACGTCGTTTTGTTTGTTTACTTTAACTCTACTTCTTTTCATCTATTATTACGAATTAACGGAAATTGGGCTTTTTATAGTAGAATAGAGTAAATACGATGCAAACTGTGATTTTATAACCGGTTATTTTGTAACAGTAACGCGCTGCAGCTTTCAGATAAATTAAAATACGGCATAAATTATGTTGTTGCGGAAAATTATTTAACCACCATCTACAATTTGAAAGCTTTTCCTCTAAAATAACCTCAAACAACCACTTTCTATCGTCGCGAATTTTCTAACAAGTATATAATTTTATAGCGTTTTGGCTCCTGTCGATTTGCGTTTTATATTACCGACAAAAAGTCATTTTGTTTGTTTACTTTAAGTTTACTTATTTTTATATATTTAATTACGAATTAACGGAAATTGGGTTGGTTATAGTAGAATAGAGGATAAGCAATGCAAACAGTGATTTTATAACCGGTTATTTTGTAACAGTAACGCGCTGCACCTTTCGGATAAATTAAAATACCGCATAAATTATGTTGTTGAGGAAACTTATTTAACTACCATCTACAATTTGAATGCTTTTCCTCTAAAACAACCCCAAACAACCACTTTCTCTAATTTTATTAAGCGAGTTACGTTGAAAAAATCAACGGACCGTTAAACTAATAGTTTGCACGTTAACGGGGAAAATTATTTTAATGAGGAAATTCAACGGGGTTTCCAGAACACAACGCGGAAACCCGAAACTCATAAAGAACACGGTTCGTTCGGAATCCAGACTATGGAAATTGCATATTAAAGCCAAACCGCATTCTTGAGATATTAAATACTTTATAGAACATACTACAACGCCGATGTTCCGGACTTTAACCGTACCTTCATCCAGTTATTTCCCGCTAAATTTCTTTTTATTCCAATCCCGTTGTTAACAAATTAATACATTTTTAATTCACTAACTTGAGCAATCAAGATAACCAACAAATCCATCAGAAGTTGTAGAAAGAAGAAGAGTAACAAAAAAATCGATTTACCTGCGGAAGTGTCTCTGTTGCCCAACACAGACGAAGGCCTCGGCTTCGGTCTGTCCTCCTCTACGACGCGCTCCGTCTCTCTCTCGTACAAATCGAAGATGGCGACGGCGCACCGGAAGCGCGCCTTCCCCGACCGGAAGTACCGCTCGTCCATTTCCATCTCTAGCGAGGAGAGCGTCGCGACGGGGGCGCGTCGCGACGTCCCAGCCGATGCCGACGCCGGTACCGCCGTTTTGGCGTACTCCGGGCCGCGGTGTTGCCGTCGGCTCTCGTTTATCTGCGAATAGAACAGATCGGCGAGTTATATCGTTTATGTCTAGTGTTGTTAAAACTACTAAAATTTAAAATGGGATGAGTTTTTAGAAAGTGGACGAAATTGATGTTTTTTTTTCGCCTTTTTCGATATACAGTGTGTCTACTTAAATTCGCACCATATGGAAAACTTTTTTAATATTAATTTTACGAAAAAAAGTTATTCTTCATAAAAAGTTCTGCATGTTTTAAAACCTAAAATACAATCATCAGATATCTAATTTTTTTAGTCGTATACGAGATTTGTCAGAAAATATGAATTTTGCTCAAAAGTGTAGTAAATCTATTTTTGAAAATATTGGAAATTCTTATCATCTGTTATCTCTTTATTCGTTAAAAATTTTATTACATTTATTACATTTATTTACATTTATTACATATCTCTTAACCTCTATGTTGCATTAGTTTGATTATGCATTGAAATAAATGATAACAAAATAATTTATTTTACAATAATTATCGACTACATAAAAACATTGCTAGGTGTTGATAGTTTAAAGAAGAAAAATAGATTACTTACTTATAATTGGATGTAATTACATATTTGAACGTAATTTTTAGTTCTGATCAACTTTTCTTAATAAGAATTTCCGATATTTTCAAAAATAAAGGTACTTTACTCTTGAGCAAAAAACACATTTTTTTTGACAAACCTCGTATACGGATTAAAAAATTGTTTTCTGATGGTTGTATTTTAGGTTTTAAAACATGCAGAACTTTTTATGAAGAATAACTTTTTTTCGTAAAATTAATAATAAAAAAGTTTTCCATATGGTGCGAACTTAAGTAGACACACTGTATAAAAACCAGTGTTGTTAAGTAATTAATTACAAGTAATTGAAAATGTTACTTTTATTGTAATTGAAGCGGTAATTATTTACAAGCTCCTCAATTGTAATTCATTTGTAATTCAATTACTCCTTTCGTTACAATTACAATTACATTTTACAATTAGATTTCAATTACATTGGACACAAAAGTACTTATTTAATATTTTCAATACGTGGAAAGTTTAAATCCGATTGCAAATCCCTAAATAATTACTTAAAACTGACACCAAAGCAAAGTAATTGTGATTGTAATTGTAATTGTAACTTTAATTGTAATTGTAATTAAATTCGCAAAATTTGTAATTGTAATTGCAATTAATTACAATTTGCCAAAAGTAATTGTAATTGTAATTAATTACATATTATAAAGTAATTTTAACATCACTGTTAACAACTAACTTAACTGGTTCTGTCCTCGTCCGATTTCCCCCTCTACTCGACTCGCCCGCTTATGGTATGTTTAAATTAACGCAGGCGTGACGTCACGCGTGCTTTAGATTTTTTTTGGTTTTTTTTCTCGTTCGAGGTGAGGAATTGTGCCTGGGGGAATTAGCTAATGAAAATTGGCGGAGTTTTCGGGGGAATTCCGGTGAAGATTTCGGGAACATTCGTTGAATATTTAAATTGACGCGGGTTGGGGGTGGGGGGTTAAAACGTGACGGGGTTAAAACTCCGGGGTTATTCCGGGGAAATTTTTACCGTTCCGGTGTCGAATTTCGGTTTTATTTGAATCGAAAGCGCTTCGATCGGATATTCGCTAACTAAATAATGTCCTTTTAGATATTTTCGGATTAAGCGAAGATGAGATAACAAAAATTAAATTTATTCTTTAGAGTGGTTTATTGATTTTTAATCAGTTAAATTTTTTTTTGTATAATTTATTACGAATAGGCGGCGATATGTACGGTGAAATTAATTTTAAATAATTAATTCGGACAAACGGACGAATTAATTAATTTAATTAACGAACAATTTTCGGTTCGGAAATGAAATAATTCAATTGCGGTATGTTGCCTATTCGCCGATACATGTATCTGTCGTTGTAAATTGCCCGCTGGTTAATTAATTTTCTGTTTAAATTAAACGAATATTGTGCCGCTAACGAAAGAAAAAAATTGAATTATTACGTTGATTAACGCAATTCGCATTCATCGCGAATAATCTTAACCAAAAAGTTGCCATGAAATTCGCTAAATTTAGCGAAATTTGTTTATACCTGGCAACATTGCCTCGCAACATCCAAATACTACTATTTCAAAACATCCAGCAAAAAAAATTCTCAAAAACCACTTTCACACGATTAAGGCCGCCAAAGCACGCCCTCAAATTCATAATTCGTGGGGTAATATTGAACTATTTTTGATAAAAATTTTCCACAATATAGATGGGATGAGATTAGTTTAACTCACTAGTAGATGTTCCGTGTTTGATTATACTTGACATAAAATGAAAACGTACAAGAAAGTAAAATAAGAAATCCTTTTCGGAATTTTTTAAATTCAATTCTCTTCCCTGCAATGTGAAAAGATAAAGTAGGGTTTTAAAAATAGTCGTTAAAGTGCTCTAAAAGTATTCCGGTACACTGGAAATACCTTATTTCATATTACCTGCCCTTAAAAAAGTGCAAATTATCCAAAAATCTCTGAAAAACGGAAACTACTGGCAACGCTGTCGCTAGTCAAATTTACAAAATTGTTCTGTGATTTGACATTTATGTCATTCGACACCATAATTTTACAGGAATGGATCAATAAATGGATCAATATAAACTAGTAGTCTGTAATAAATATTCTTCATTCTACTAAAATTATTGAAACATCCGTTCGAGGAAACTCGAGTCTTACTAGAATTACTTTTTGCCATTTAAATAGCATTGCAAATAAATGTCAGTTTTTGATTGCAATTTTCTTAAATATGTAACGAAGTAGGAAAGATTAAAAATAGGAGATATCATTGCTTGTAGTCTCTATATTAGATATAAGAAAGATTCAAATCAATTGATGAATCCTAATTTGAATCTTATTGGAATTACTGAACCTATGTTTTCCCATTTAAAAATACCCTGAAGTGGCGCCCTTCAACTAGAAATACAATTTGACACTAATGACATTTGATACTACTGATCATTGAAACTAATCACATTGTTGACACAAATATCATATGACACTAAAGACATTTGACACTAACGACATTCGACATTGAGAATTCCACCATCCTAAAATTTTCGTTCGAAATTTCACCGTGAATGCATCGTTAATTAACGTTTCCCCGTTTCCCCTACGCGATGTCGTTTGATTAACGCGTTCCCCACTCGCCCGCGTTCTCACCTGCTATACAGGGTGTCTACTGTAAAAACCGCCAAACTTCAGGAGGTGATTATACAAGTAATTTCGAACAAAAAATTGTCATGTATCACTTTTCAAAAAGTTGATAGTTCCTCTATCGAGTAATAAAACCACAAAAATAAATCAATATTCTTTACTAAATTTTTACAATAGCAACAACAACAATACTAAATTTTCACAAAAACAAATTTAAGTTAAAACAAATATTTATTATGGAAGATTTTAAGGCAAATTTAGGTATTTGCTTCACATTTCTTTCATTTTTTTATACATGATCACTAATTAATTTTTTGTAGATTTTTATTTTCGGGATATTCTTGTTTGAACAACTTTGTATTTTAAAACATAAAACTTTAAAATTTGTACAAAAAATTAATTCAAAATCTGAGTAAACCTCTTAAAAGCTTATTAAATACAGTAGTTTTTGCTAAAAAAAAAACTTATTAATTTTATAAAATTGCTGGCTTTACGACCATTAAAAGATACATATAATTATGTTCATTTCATATTCATAACAATTAACAATCTTTTATAACACCTGGTATTGATTTTTTTTAACCCTGATAAATACTTTTTTTATAGCAAATTTAATGCTCTTTTACGGTATATGATCAAAATTAATGTGACTATACGAATAAATGTGATATTTCGGTCTTTTTGGAAAAAAACCAAAAAAGAATTTAAAACAATGAAATGTTAAATAAGAGAGAAACTATCGACTTTTCGAAAAAGGGTTATAGGACATTTTTTGTTCAAAATTACTTGTATAATCACCTCCTGAAGTTTGGCGGTTTTTATAGTAGACACCCTGTATAGACGAAATCAACGCATTCATAATTCCCGGAGTCGAATTATTAGTGGAAATCCGGAAATCAGATTAGGCATTACCGTCAATATTCGGGCGTTAACAAGTAATGTTCATTAGCGAACGCATAATGCATATGTACAAACTGAATAGATTATTATATCAGCAAACTGCACGTGCATCATCGACGATGATGATGATGATGATTGTGTCGATGATACTTTCATTAAATCGTTTTTGTTATCCAAAATCTGGATTCCTATACATTCTTTCAACAAATAGGATATGACAATTGACAATTATGACGTTTGACAGTTAATCGACAATTATTCGTACGTGTATTGTATCCAAGGAAACCATTATGGATCCATTATCCAACGCTAAGTTGATTCAATTACGCGCTTTATTGGAACCCGATGATTTTTTTATGCCTTCTCGTTTGATGGAAACGTCAAAATTGCCACTGTTTTGAAATCATAGTCCTATATTTCATGGAAACATGGGTCGAAAAAGTGTCCCGTTATTTGAGGTTAAAACAGGGTTCCTAAAACGACCGCTAGGAGGAGATGTTGTAAAGGACTCCAGTTTTTTGCGTACGAATTATGTAGAATTAGCATTCAGATAGGTTTTATTCAAACAAAAAATAGATACAAAATATAAAAATATACTTAAATCAGCGATGATTTTGTTGTAAACATCATGCCTCACGTATCTTCGGTTAATGTATTTCTCCATTTTCTTCTCGAAATGTCAAAAAATAATTTTTCAAGTTTTGACAGCTCGAACTGTCGTTTCACACAACCGCGATTTATATGTAACGCGACGCTGATTGGCTGAAATAAGTTGGTCCTCAGATCGTTCGCCACCTTGCGGAGCAAAAGTGAAGCTCAAAAAGTCATCAAATAACGGGACACATTCTCTAATGCATAAGCATAGGGAGATTCCTGACCTTAGAAATATAGGGCCGTGATTCCTATACAGAGTGTTTCATTGGGAAAGGGCAATATTTTAACCCTATATAGAGGTCACCCAGGGGATTACAAAAAACCCATATACTATGGGTCTTGTGCCCTTTATAACCGAGTTACAGGGTGTTTTTTGAATTTGGCCCATTTCTTTTGACATCTATAACTTTTGAATCA